GTGGCAGTGAAAGCCGCAAGGAAGCTGTCTCGCCGATAGATGATAGCCAGCTGTTTGTGATGGTATTTGTTAACACAAGGTGTAGGCGCCTTGGCCCTGAATGTTTGCTTAGGGCATTAAGGTTTTCAGGTAACGTCCCCTTCTTCTTCCCCTTCTTTACCCATTATTTCATCGTGTGTGTATGGCAGCGAAGCATAAGTTCAATCGGCTTATGTACTGTTATTGTTTTTGTTGTTGTTGCTGCTGCTGATGGTGATGATGTCGCCTGACCAGCAACTACACAGTGAGCTGCGTATCCGGGTCTCGATTGCAGCGGCGGCTTTCGGGAAGCTAGTGTACCCCGAGTGTGGAACAACTATCATCTTACCATTGGCACGAAGCTGATGGTCTACACATCCATGGTGCTGCCCGTTCTTCTATACGGCATTAAAATGTTGACGATGTACCGACGGGATGTGCTATATCTCGAGCGGTTCCATCAACATTGTTTGCCACGGATTCTGCGCATCTTATTGGGCGACAGAGTTGCTGACACGGAAGTGTTGCGACAAAGTAGGATCTATGCAGTGGACTGCATATTTTTACTGAGACACCTGTGGTGACTCGGTCATGTGAGCCGTATAGATTCGACGCGGATACCGAAACAACTATTATATGGTCCGCTGAGTATTGGGAAGCGGTATGTGGGGAAACAAAAGTTACGTTATCAGGACATGACCAAAGTGCGTCTTTCACGTTCTAATCTTGATTGCAGGTCATGGGAATCGAAGGCGGTTGGTCGACGCGCATGGCGCGATCTAATCACGATAGCAGTTGCCGACGTGCGGGAGGAAGTCCTCGTACATGCAGAGAAGAAGTGGCAAGTGCCGATGGGTTGTACTCCATCGACATCGAGCCCATGGTGCTGTAGCACATGCGGTCGCGAGTGTCTGAGTCAGGCAGGCCTAGCGAGCCATGAGCGAGGCCACTCGGGACCACTACCGAAGCGACGACGGGTCCTACAGAGAAGGTAGGCAGAATCGGCGCAGCTTTTGCAGGTACGCTGCATTCGATTTGCTAATCGCGTGCTTGCATGCGAAGTCTATTTATTTCAGATGGTGGGTTTGCAATTTTGTCCTATTGCTTATCTTTCTCATATTAACGTCTACATGTACTATCTTCCATAAACTTGCACACGTCACTGATGCTAATTGTAGTTAATTTCGATAACATTTCCGCTTTTGTGGCATTTTCTTTAAATATATGTTCTGACCTCTTTAACTTATCGCGGATTCATTCGTAAACTACTTTCTACGTCCATTTAGTGAAGAGTTGTGCCGCCGTATCTGTATGCATTATCCGATTTATTTTATTTCATCTTGTCGTTTCAAGTGATTAGCTGTTGCTTGATATCCCCGGTGTGGTTGCTCTTGGTGTGCATGTTGACTAGATGCCTACCTGTCTATTACCCACTACCTCGTCCCTACTGGCTCCAGGAGACAGTTAGTCGTTGCTGGAGGGGACGGGGTTCACGGTCCTTGTGGCCGTACTAGTTTCGAAAAGTGGTTCCATGCACTCAGTGTGGAGCAGACTACGGTCCAGCCATCGCCTTGTGTGCACTTGATTCCCCAAATACAGCGTGCTTGTGTCGGCCTGTGAAGGAGTGTGGGCCGGCTCCGTTGATGATGCTTGGAGCTGCGGGTGGTGCACCGCAAGCCACCCATGGTCCCTCTGTAGGCGCAGGCGTCCTGTGCCTTGCCACAGTGACAGGCAAATCCGAAACCGGATGCCGCCAACCATATCAAACAACAGCCAATCATTTAAATTGACATTACCAACAAAATATATCTTATAGCCTACGTCTATGCAGACATAACTTCGCTTATGAAGTAAGTTGGTTAGCAACGAACCTGCGATTAGCACCTAGTGTCCAGAATTTATTCAAAAATGTTACAAACACAACAAAGTTAACGCAGATGACCACAGTTAGCGTAAGCAACGTAGCTAGCTAATAGATTATTCTGGTAGGCGGAAGAAACCAAATAAAGGAAATGAAATTTTTCAGCTTAAAAAGACCTAATTTAAGTGTAAGTTGGTTTAGCCCAACTATGGTGAAGAAACATCATGAATGCAACATCAGCCTCATCATGGGGCGCATATATATATATATATATATATATATATATATATATATATATATATATATATATATATCTTCACAAGCCTGTTAACAGACATTGTGCCATCAGAACCATGACAAAAAGGAAGATAAATGCGTACGAAAGCAAACAACTAACCGTTTTTTGGTTTCGCACGCGCCGTTTTTAATTTTTTGTTTATATATCCATATAAATATATACTGGAGATTAAACAACTGGTAAAACGACACAACACCAATGACACCACAAATGTCTGCTACGTGCTATCTGCGTCACGTGGTCCCCAACCTGGGAGGCACGCTTATCCGACTGAAGCTAAGCTTGAGGTTGCTTTTTTCGTGCTTCGTTTTCACCTCATTGGTTGTTCACTGCGATAGTCTTTCTAATCGCTTCCGAGAAGCGCAAATAACGGTCGTCGGGGAAGGCCATAGGCTAACATCTGCAGTACGTAGCCGAGCCAACGCACGCGGTGTCAGAGAACAACGTTTCGAAGATTGGGGCTGTTCGCTCGAATCACTCGTTCACGAACCTCCATATTGCTTATGTGATGTGGCCGCCACACATGATCGATCTTTTTCTGACAACGGTTATCAAAAACTGACAGTCGTCTCATGTCTTCTGAACGATCAGGCCAGGTTTCACGGCTATATAACAGGACCGTACGGGCGGAAACATTATATACCCTGACCTTGAGACTGACGTCACGACAATGCCATAGGTGTCTCAGTTTGATGACAGCAAGACGGGCTTTTGCACTACGCCGTGAGAACCCATCTCAAACACCGCCACCAGCCGTGCCGCGACTACCTGGATAAGTGAAGCAATCCACTTGTTCCAGAATGTCACCAGCATGTAGCACTGCTAGTTTGCTACACTTCCGCACCGACGCACTTGCGGTTCCGTGACTGAACTAGTGCTTTCATTGCTTCGTGACCATGGCTCCTTACGCTACGACATTAAAGAAAGCATAATTTATGCATACAAATAACTAGAACGAAAACATTTGCAAACTAAAATAATAAGAGAAATGGCAACCGAATAGGGATGCATTATGAAGGGGAGATGACGACAGCTTGAAAAGGAGATCGAAAGCGGTCGCGTCATTCATTCCCTCACTCTGCAAAGTTGGATTAGCTATCTAGCCCCTGCGGTACCTGGTTTTTCGGTTCCAACTAGGCGGATGTCAAACGCAATCCAAACGAACTTTTCAGCCTGTTTCTTCGCACATCACCACATGTATGACTGGTCGTTGTGTGCCTTCATCAGTGGCACTAAACACTGTACACTCAGACAGTTAGTCGCCAAACATGCAAACGAAATGACTCAACTCACATGGATGATTCGATCTCTACCTATGATCCGGAGTACTGCCGATTGTCCGTTGTTAATAGTCGTCTCACCAGTACTCACGTCTTAGCTTCTCTGGATAGGAGCGGTTTTTTTTTCAAGCGTTGGATCAATTTGTGGTGAGCCGTTTAGCAAAGTGATTCTTGAGTGAGCGTAAATCTTCATTCTTGATCGTACTTTCAAGTTGGCTGGACGCATACTTAACTGTGCACAGTACAACTAGCCCAACTGGGTCTGATTTCTCGACTCTTTGGGGCCGTTTCCTATAGTCCTTGGCGTCTACTCTATGGGTGTCCCATTCCCCAAAAGGATAATATCTTATTTCCTTACAACAACTATTTTACCAACAATCTTTTGTCGTTTCTTTTCAAGGAACGTGTATTTGGGTGGGCACCTATTAATTTGTCGTTCCACATATCATCGAGGAAAATTCATAGATTTTAACAGTGAAGCGGCCGTTTTCCAGTTTTCCAAGCCTTTTTGATGCTCGTTTGGCCATCTATTCCTAAACGCAGCTAGTTTTATGTCACAGGATGTCTTCGGTTGATGACGATCTGGGAAATTGCCCACTTATGCTGTACGACTTGGTGTCTACTGAACGTTGACTCTGTATAGCGAATATTCGGGGGACGCGAATCGACAGCCACAACCGATAAGGACTATGCTCTTGAGAACTGGTTAGACACTAGTCAAAAATGAAAGCTGGGGCTCTACCAACTTCTAATTCTAGTGCTTTATGATTAGCGGCTGAGTGCTTCAACCTGCTTAGTTCTTTTTATAATCTCGGGGATTTCATTTCACAAGAAATACACTCCATTTCTCGTTACGTGCTAGCAGTAGCTTCAGATTTCCGTTTAGCTTCGGACTGAGCAATCCAGCAGAACTGCAACTTAGGTTATCCTCGATTCAGTGCGTAAGATTTAGCCTTAGACAAATTGCTATCTTGGGGTGCACCGGTGTGCGCCACAGTTTAGCTTGTCTCAACCGCATTGTTCCATTTAGTGGACATTAAACTAGAACCTGTTCCTTTACATGGTTTGTTGCTGTCTTATTCATAGTACAGCACCAAACGGACATCCCCCGCCCATGATATACCCCAGCCACGAAATACTGGGGATTTTTCTCAACGTCCAAATTCGAAAATAAGCTCCAGCCACGGCGTCGGAGATAAAGATGTCCATTCTGACAAAGCCACACGGAAAACATCGCTATCCAAGTTACATGAGTGTCCCCTATTCAAAGGGGACGACTACATTTTCCCGAGTGCCTGTTTCACAACAGTTCTCATCACCACTTCTGGCGTGTGTTCTTCATACTTTTTCCTTCATGATGTGCCCCACTTTTACTTGCTCCATATAAATGTTTGCTAGACACTTTTTCATCTCATACTCTCTCACTGCTGTTTTAGCATCCTGTGAACTATTCGACAGTCCCCTTTTGCTGAGACTGGGATTTACTTCTCCGTTTTAATAAATTTCCGTGCTTTTTTGAACTCAAATACCGTTTTCTCCAAAGGAATGGGCGTCAAAAAATCGAAGGTTGTACCTAGTCGAAGCAATTCTGATGTCATTGCACATGATTTAATTGATTCTGAGGTATGCCGTCTCATTGTGGTTATTTTGCTCAAAGGTTGTAATGGACTCCAGTGTTGAGGCTACTGCTCAAACAAAGGCAGTGAGTTCCACGAGCTTCCTTTGTCATGCAAACATACTTTTTATTTAAAGCTTTTGATCAGTTTTATGGAGTATCTTGGTTATTAATCAGCGTTTAGTCCATTTCTTTGTTGGTTATCTGTGGTACATTCACTGCAACATAGTGGACCCATTTACCTTGGTTAGCATCGCTATAATAACCGATTAGTAGAGAACATTGATCAGAAAAGTACGTGTCAGCTGTAGCTGATAAGCCGGTCAGACACCTAAAATGTTGCACTCGTCAGACGGAAAAATTAACGGTAGAGGTCATGGAAAGTGAATGCAAAGGCATTAGTCTTCATAATCGCACCATGTCGGATGAGGATAACCAGGCGTCGATCACTTTCTCCATCGCCATGTGTTCGTCTAGATACCTCGGGTTTTGACCAAACCTGGTGCAGTGTTGGTATGCTTGACCCATCAAATGAAAATACTTCGATGGCGTGGGAGATCAGCTTTCAGCAGTCGATGAGCTGGTGTGCTGATGGTCCGTTGCCAAGCACCTCCTGGTAGACATCTTTACCGCTTGCCTGTTTCTCCCGTTGGATATGTGCGCCGCCGCGCACGCGCGGATAATCAACGGTGGGTGCTTTCGTATTCAATTCAACACACATCGGTCATGTCTGTGATCTGTATACAAGCACTGGACACTCTGCGGTATTGTGCACCCTATCCCAAACCGGTTGGCCCTTATTCCATAGTCACCGTCGTTAACTGATACTGTGCAACACCACACAAGTTTCGCACTAGCACACAGTCGTATTTTCTTCAGTTTGACCACTGACGGGGATACAAATGCCCAGCTAGGTGACGTTCGGCGATCTTGAAAGCCGGCGGGGTTAGCATACTGCTGCCGAGCATTTGATGCACATGCGCAATAGTGTAACGCCAACCGTCATTTTATTAAGCATTACTTGCTCAACAGCTTGTTCGGACCTCGATGAAGATGCCATCTACATGATCCAAGTTTGTCAATCCATCAACCAATGTGACCATTTTGAAAGAATCACATGACAGGAACATTCGTCTTCATTTTAGTGATCAATTTGTGCAGAAAAGAAGTGTTTTGGTAGGTCAGACACCCCGCTGCCGATCTGTCCGGCCCTGGGTATTGTCACTGTTTGCGTTAGGAGCAACACAATCCGGCACAACTCAACTGAAAGCCACTGAACATCGTTGTCGCTCGCTTCTGCCCAAAGCGGCACACTGTTAACTACCCATCTACAAAGGGGCCTGCAGTTTCCCACTCATTGCGTTTTGATGACCTGGACATTTGGAAACATTAAGATAGCTGCTTTTTATGAGGACCCGTGACTTTCCGTTTTGTCTCCCCATGTTTCCCGTATTGGTTATTGCGTTACTTATGAATGTGTGACTGATCCGTGTCGATAATTTGTTAGCACTGTATGATTCGGTAGCAGAACGAATTTCCTTCCTGAGGCCACGTTTTAACGATAGGCTGCCGGGGTACTCTGGCAGTTGCCACAAGACGCAATCATTGAATTGTCTCTGTCACCAACAGGTTTGTTACAACAACATACCCCGACAATACCCGTTCAATTTCGAAATAACCGGCCTTCACAATGTCCTGAAGGCCTGCAAACGGTACTTGCCGCCGTACATTAAGAGGCACAACATACCGAGTCCACCATTGGATTATGACGTTTCTTTTATTAGGTCCGTTAACCCTTAGCTCATTGCTTCGCTATACAGCGTATGAAAAGGAACGCGATGGACTGGGCTCTTGGAGTGGTTTGGCTCAGTCAAACATTGGGGGGTGAGAGGAACATGGAGGTGCGTGCTCCTGGGGCGGGAAGATGATTCAAGTATGAGTTTTGTATGGGGAGTGGTCTGGACGTGTTGCACAGTGTAAGCGAACGGTTTCCACAGTAAGTGGTGTAGTGAAGTCATGGCAACATCGATATGAGATCACATAAGGGATAATCGGTAAGCCGGCGTTCATCAAAGGTGACAAGCGTCTGCTTTGGTCATCCAGATTGAGATCCCGACATGCGTCTTGCTGATTGCATAATAGTTATCTCGGTGGACATGTAACCATGGCGGGTGGGTGGTAGAAGTCAGGAATTAAATCATGTTATTCCTCTTGTGAATTACATAACACCTATATCGGGATGGCCGGTGACCATGGGGCATATAGTGGGTAAAGAAATAGTTGGTGGGAATCCAGAGTTAGATCGCGCCATCCATCTTGCGAATTGCGCGGTAACTTTACCGCTAACACCCCAGCCTACCATCATTACTCTTCACTTTAGCTAAAGACGAAACACAGTTATTTTTCTGCCAAGCAATTCAATCTGTTGGCCGCAAAGAAGAGATGGAAAAGCAAAGCACACATTCTGCCCTTCCTTTACCCTACAGCAGGAATGAAACCTTGTTTGCAGTAGGATACTTGGTGGGAGAATGAGTGACAATGACATTCACAGCGCAAACGCCATTGCGATCATCTCTTCGCTATACCAACAGATATCTCCAACCAAACGTGTTCATCGTAGGTCGTGAGGCGTCAACCGAGGTCAATTAAAAAGTGTGGAGGTTTCCATTTTCTTGACCAAATCATCGGCTAGCTTTCGGTCTTCTTCCGTCCAGACCACGGTCGCGTAAACAACGCATGTTGCAGTGCACTTACACATGTAACATATGACTTAGCCATTGGATCCTGGTGCGTGATTTAACGCTTTTGAGTGGTTTACTTTATCTTATTATGCCATAACTAAGGCGGTGGACACACTGTTTCACTGCGAATACACCAGTGGTCAGACGCGATTGGTCTCTTTACTTTACAATGTGTTGGGCCAGGTTTCGTGACAGTGCAATATGGGTGAGCAGATGGTGGCATTGTAGACTCCACCCTTTAGCGCGAATGTGATGCGCACCGGCGTCTTCCCTCTTCGACTTGATGCTGCTCCCGATGTTACACTACTTTTCAGCCGATCGTAGAGCACTTTGGATCGAGCAACCATTCTTCGACTTTTATCAACACCTCTTGTGTCGTTATGAAGCTGGTTAGAGAGCTAAAGTGCAAAGGGCCTTCAGAGGAACACGATTCGGTGATATTATTGACGGTCAACAGCTTGTCTTTCATGGAATCGAGTGACTTGATGAATCAAAACTTATGGAAACGCTGGTCAATTATTGGGGCAACATATGCAAAGACGCTGTGATTGTACTTCAGGACACTTCTCGTACCCATAATCTTTTCACTCAACAGAAATGCTCTCTATTCTCTAAAGTCTTGGACGTTGCTACAAACCCGGATACATGGTAAACTCTTTGGTTAAAACAACACATTACTTGCATCGAGTTCTCTTGAAAAAAGTCGGATCAGCAATAAACTGACTAGTTTAGCTTGCACCAAATGTCGTGGTGGAAAACAGCGGGACCGTCGGAATATGCGACACTCCCTTAGCTCTGAGTACACCGACAGATGCACTCCAGTCTTCTTCCGTTAGTTGATCTATTTTCTTTGCTCAACAATAGTAGCTTTCTTAGGAAACTTGATCTCATTGGGATATGTACCCAAGCGAAATTTGTTGAGTAGTCCTAGGGGTTGTTGACCATTTACACCTATCGTGGGTTCTTCCAAAACTCACCTCTTCTATTCAACATATTGTAGCTACGACGCCTACCGAAATTCCGGGCGTAGCTGAATACCTGAGTAACATGATGGCCGGAGTCTATTAGATTGAACTGTCGCAGTTCATGAATTACTTGTTTAGGCGGATAGAAAGATACACCTTCAGGGCATCTATACACAGTAACCTGGCCTCCATGCGTTTGACTCTAATAGGGTCTGCTAAATCATCGCAGCACTCTAGAAGTACCCATTGTGTATGCAATGACGCTAAGACATCGTCTGGCGAGTTTCATTCGACAACACTCAGTAACCACCTGCCAGACGAACTCTTTTCTATTCACGCATGCTACCCCGAGAATCAGCGATGGACTAGGTCATCCGGAACGCCTTAGATACCTTCTGACTTGGGAGACTATAAGTCCATTTCCTATGTCTACTAAAGCGAATCGAACTACGATTTTACACTCAATTACATCAGTTGCACCTGGTACCAGTATGGTCCAGTTGGATCTGCAGTGACATTCGATGATCCCCAGATTTAGCGACACAGGCGCTTGTGTTGAGGGCGATGCTGCTCACGATCGAGGAAACAGCATTTGGCACTTATTCTGAAACAACTTCCTGGTTGCTGTTCCGTCTTTTCTGAGTTATCCTTTTGATCAATTATGTCTCCAGTAATGATCTAGATATCTGTATTCCCGACAAGGGACAAGAACAGAGTTGCCGTTAGAATCCTTCTTTTATGCCTTGCGTCGTAGTCTGGGGGAAGTCTGCCAAGGCAGTAAAATGCACTTGACCTTCGGGCAGTGTCCACGTTCCCCGCTTGTACTTCCTAACATATCCATTCTTATTTGGGGCTCTTTGAATTTTGATTTTCGAGTATTGGAGCAACCGGCTTGTGTCTTGCATTGCGACACGCAATCTTAATTGTGGCCTCGGTTGGCTTTGAAGTCAGCTTCTGCCAATACCGTCGCTGGGATCGTCACCGTAGCTCTTAGAATTTTTCTCAAGGAGATCGTTGTTGTATCATGAAGGCAACAGAAAAAGCAGGATGTGTCTCCGTATTCCGTCAAGTGGTAACAGACTCAAAACACAGAATAATCAATTTTAACCGTCCGGATTTCACGCAACCGATGAGAAGAGAGATGCTGTGTTTCAGCAAGCCAATGAAACATGAGTAGCGACATGGTGATGAATTGGTCACAACAACCACTCCCCCTTTTGAAGAGCCGCGTCACGCGGGCTGGTATCGATCGACGCGCTTTGAAGGTCTGGTAGGCCAGCCAAGCCGACTTCGCGGTAGCGGCGATTCGGCTTGGTTTTCACACATAGTTTGTTGAAACTGGGTAGCTGGTCCATGAGCAATGTGCAACCGACGTGCGTTTACGATTAGGCCGTTTTCCAATCGATAGGTCCCTGGGCCAATATTCTTTGTGGTTTGCAACGGTGTGGATAGAGCTGGGAGGCTTTTATGCGTAGCCCTTTCTTAACGCGAACGTGTGCTCCAGGATGTATTGGAGTTGGCGATCGGGCGTAGGAATTTTGGTAAAGTGCTATGCACGTCCCACAGATGTGCAGCATTTAGTTTGGTTCTTAAGGGTCTTCATCAGCTCCGCTGGCGTTCTTCCGGTATACCTGTGGTCGCAAGTTCTGTAGGAAAATACAGCATTTAAGACAGCATCTTCCCAGTCTACCCCTTCTACTTGAATGGCTTCCTTGAGGGATCGGTTTAACCGCTTGACCATGCCATTGGCCGCAGGATTGTAATGTTCAGTTCTTGTATGTCTCGCGTTATGGTACTGGAGGAAAACTGCGAAGTCGTGGCTACAAAATTGTGGTCCATAGTTAGTGATGATTTCTTCCAGTAGTCCGAAACGACTGAACAAGTGTTTGAGCCCAGCGTAACGCAACCGAAGTAGTCACTTGGTCGCACATGTGGACTTCATGCCACTTACTATAAAAACATGTAGCTACAAGTAGTGTTCTCTTATTCGTAGGAGCGGTGACAAAAAGACCCATAATATCAATGGCGATCTTAACCAACGACTTCAACGGGTAATAAGCTGTATTGTAGCTTCGACTGGCAGAGGACTTTTGTCTGCTAGGCGGCAAGCGTTGCAGTTCACCACAAATGCCTCAATGCTAGATGCTATTCGTGGCCACCAGAAGGAGAGTTTCGCTCGGTTTGTTGTCCGAACTACACCCAGATGTCCCTCATGTGCACAAGCAATTATTTTGTTTACCAACTGATGTGGAGCTATAAACACCGAACCACGCATCAGACAACCAACTATCACTGACCGTTCATCTCGCATTGCGTACTATGGAATGAACTCACCGAGGACTTTGTCCTTCTTAGGCCACCCCTGTCGCACATACTCGCTTGGCACATACTCGTTGGCATGTTCCGTTCGTAATTCCCCAATCGTCAAGGCAGTCAGGTCGAAGCCAAGGCTGGAAACTAAGACAGCCTCTCTGAGTTTTTTCTTATCATCTTCCACCCCCACAGGTATACGAGATAATGCATCAGCAATTTGATTTTGCAAACCTGGCTAATACATGATTTGAAAATCGTAGTTAAGGAGTCTAGCATACCAACGATCGATCCGCATTAGACGTGATCCTTTTTTGATCCATTGGTAAAGAGGACATTAAGTGCGGAATGATCAGTTCGTTGATTGAAACGATGGCCGAACATGAAAAGATGCCGTTTTTCACAAGCCCACACACAAGCGAGCTTCTTTCTCCCCAACTGAATAATGGCGCTCAGATTCTGGGCGTTTCCGGGATGCTTAAGTAATAACCTTTACTTCTCCGTTATTTAGCTGTGACAGAACATCGCTGAGACCAACATCCGACGCAAAAGTGCGGCATGATTAATCAAAAATGGCAACTAAGAGAGTAGATGCAACCCTTCTTTTCAGTTCATTGAAGGCGTTTTACTGTTTGCTTCCCCAGATGAATGACACTCCTTTCTTAGTTGTCGTAATGCATCTGCTAAGGTCGCAGAATTTTGCAAATAGCACAGGTTGTAGGAACACATTCCCCAAAATGACTTCAGTTCTATCACGTTCTTTGGTTTGGCGCTTTTGTGATGGCCCAGATGTTTTCGTTGCTTGGACTAATGCCCAACGCGATAGAATGTGTCCCAGAAATTGAATCTCCTGGCGTTGAAGAGACATCTTTTGCACAGATATCATCTATGTATGCAACCTGCCCCTCAATACCTGCCAAGGCGTGAGCCAGGCAGCGGGCGCAAAACTAAAACCTATTAGCAACACTTTGTTCTGAAATAAGCCATCGGGAGCAAGGAAGGCAGTAAGATGCTACGAATCGTTGGCCAATGGCATATGGAAGAATTCACTTTTTTAATCTAGCCTGGAAAAACGGTTGCACCAGCAAAACGTACAGTGAGTTCTTTTTTGGATAGCAACACGAATCGCTCTACGACAATCTACTTATTTAGTCCCTGCAAATCGTTGCATATCCTGACAGTGCCATCTTTTTTATGGGCACTTACCATTGGATGCACCCACTCAGAGCAGTCGATGGGTTCAACCAAGTCATTTACCAGCATCTTTTGCAAGACCGTTGAGACAATTTGACGTTTTGCTAGCGAAATAGGCCGAGGTTGACCTGTGACAATGGGCTTTGCATCTTGCTTCAGCTGAATGCGGTGCACACCACATGGAATACCTCCGATGAACTACTGAAAAAGCTTAGAACAACCTTCATGCCCGTATGTCACTGCAGAGTACATCGCCCGACATCTTGGACAACTCAGCCCATTGGCGCTGTCCCGAAGACCATAGCCACTATACACATTTTTTTGCATCGTTATCCTCTTGTATATATATTTCGAAGACGCAGTGCACCAACCTGAAGGGGGTGCAGATTGATAGTCATTGATACCAATTGAAAGATCAGACGTGAGCTGAAGCTATTTATTATGACGGTGATTTATATTCGCTATTGACCATGGTTCACGATACGGGGAACGTATTCACGTTGGTCAATCTTACAAGGAGAGGTTTTAACCTAAAAGGTTACAGAACTCCGTCGGCAGGTACCACTTTCTGACTGATCCCTGGTCACTAAAGTAGTCTTCCCCGCAACATCACTCCATATCGCGGTCACCTTTGACTGCCCTTACTTATAACTGCTCCCATGTGACTCCTTTGAGCTCAAAGCACAGCAATCCTATCATGGGACGTTTTCTTTCTCGACTTGAATTTTATTCAACAATCCAGATAATTACTGCAGCAGTAACTGATAAGTCATGCAGTGCCAAGACTTAACTGGGGTCGGTGGTTACTCTGACACCACTCACCAGGCAATTGGCTATTTGTACTTCAGCTATCGTCGGCTTTCCTCCAATTCTTCTTTGGACTAGATGACTAAAACATTCTTGCAGAGTGCGTTTGACTTTTTGTAATGCATTCGGCTGCTCTAAGTTGCTGTTGCTTGCCATGAAAAGCAACCTTTTTCAATAAATTTAGACACCACATTTAGACAAACTGTCAGCTCATGTCCGTTACCTTTCCAGCATGCTTTCGATTCTGTGCTGTTATCTGCGCTTTTCTCTTTCACTTCTTCCTTCAGGCTGCTAATACCGTTGCGGGCCCTAACTTGTCTAGGTCGCAACGCAAGCGTTTAAAGAAAGTCCTTACAAAGAAAGCTAGAAAAGAGCAGAGAGCGAAACAGCCACAAGAAGAAGAGCAGGTAAGTGGCTTTCTGCAAAAGTCCAGCAAGCCGTAGGGTATTTCTGCTCACTTCTAGTATATGGAATATTGTAGAGGATACATCGGGCATAGATTACCTAAAACAGAACCCAGGATGGGGATTTTTCTCAACTAGATCCTTAATCCATGCAATGTTATCCGAAAACAACTGTTAGTTACTCATCGACGCCATTAAATGTTGAGTTTAAATAGCATAACCCTTGTCTTTTGTTAATTCTTTTTCCTGCGTAAGCGTTCAAGTTGTTCTCCCCTTTGACGTCCTCATTTGTGCGCACTCAGTAACGAATATAGCGCCGATTTAGTTGAATGTGCCCCATATATCCCGGTGGTAGGTTCTTCAATAATACACTTTGTACGGCATGTTTAACATCTACACATGGGTACTGAGTCACAGTGGTCTGAACTCCACGAACAGGGCTGTTCTGCGCGAACCATTTGCTCATCGTGAGCCTTCAATGCATAGCTATTTGTAATATGAAAACCGAACCCACCATGGGATTTAGCATCACGCATCAGGTATATCAACAACTGCTTGGGTCTCTGACCTTGGCCTAGTATTTAATAAACCCCGCCTCAGCTTATCGGGGGCTTCACTAACCGTGGTTTAATACATTTACCCTAGACCACCGTAGTCTTTCATCTAACCGTGGGTTACATGATCGAATGTGTTGCTAATGCAACCGCTTCGACGCACTGTTCAGCCAATCACTTGGTGCTATTTGCTTATCAGCAGCCGTTTATTTTAGGCTAGTTGTTGGTTTGTTTACGCATGGAATACTTGTGAAATATTTATCCTACTTATTCTTTATCGAAATCCAGGAACCACCGTTGTCACCAGCCATCGTTCTTCCTAAGAGGGCTTGTTTCGTCTCACAATTAGACACTGAGGAAAAGCGTTTCTCTGCTGCTATGTCTCGTCTTGGTGAGTATTTGTTTTCCAAATTTATTTTCTCATGTGACTTCTACCCATGTAGAACACCCTACTTTAGTTTTCCGCTGCTCTTCGCCATATCACTTAACAGCTCTTGTAGCTCACTGTCTACACTGGATTCCTCACTTACACTTTGTGATTGAACTGCGTAAAGTGCTGCTTCTTGAGTAACACACCGTCTACACCACAGTCGTCGGGTATCAGTATGTCACATTTGATCTCATATTGAAACATCATTCGCACTACTCTGCTGGCCTATTGTCTATATCGACTTTTCAGTGGAATCGATTACACTGGTCAACAGTGCTTTTCGTGCCAGAGATATTATGGTGATTTCGGTGTAATTTTTGTCACTGATTTCGAATGTGGCCTCGATTTTGCTAGAATGGCTCTACTTTTTAAGATATGGTACATACATTGAATGGCATAATATGATAGAAGAAATTGTTTTGTCCAACAATTGAATGGAAATTGTTTCTTGTACTATCAATACAAACAGTAAATATCTAATCGTCATGTACACACCACAACTAAAAAAATATCTATTCTGCTGTGCTATATCGTGACAGTTGATTCTTGAAAAATTGCTGTGCTATTTCTTGCTATGTGGTTTATCTAGAAAGTCACCTAGGATGCTCCAGCATTAGTTCGTCATCGTTTGGCTGTCCCATTAATGTTCTGATGGAAACTCTCGCCATGTTCTTCCTTAAAATCACCATGATTATCTGGGAATGTTTAAATGACTATGGGGAAAATACAACTTCGTACTCATGTTACAGCCCAACGTTCCAAACTTCGCAAGAATATTCTCCACCCGTTCTTCATAGTTCCTTGCGTTATGGTTACCCAGGAAATTCTGGACATCGGAGACAAAACCGTCTTAAACACGTGCTTCAACACCGTTCATACATGTACAATTTCGATCATTAATGAGTTGTCGAATTCTTGACCATAGGTGATAGTTTTCAGGTTCTCTATGCTCATTTTAATGGATGATTTGCAAATGTACTTGAAACAAGCACCATCTTTGTCCAAATTGTTTTATCAACCCCAAGTTCATATGAAGTGGTGGGCGTATGCTCATTTCTGTCAACCGAAACCTTTTTGATAATGTTCACTGCGCTTAAATTCATTTTTCTCTGCTGGGCCATCAGTTTCTTTCAATGATATTGTTTAGCCTTACTGTCTTATAAGCACATGAAGCAAGCATACTTTGCATATCCACTTTGCTATTCAGTCAATAAGTTCATTATCTTCAACTCCACCTATATTGCCCAGTATCGTTTGTATCTACTGAATCCTTTCACATTTACAGCGCCGCAATAACAATCATGGTAATGGCTTATCATTTCGCTCCACATCTTACGCACACTAGAACTCAAACCATATGTTTAGCCAGTTGTCCACTTACAGAGACACTCGACTCAGAGTTTACTAACCTTATGGGAAGTCGAAAACTTTTCCTGATCATTCTTGACACCAAAGTGAGTGCAGTATGCTTGACTCAAAACGGAATGATATTTCTCCTTTGTTTAAAGGCTGTGCATCAGTAGTATCTCGGTACTGCGTACAGAGGCTTCGTTGCCGCACAGTCACCATCGGTCGCACATGGACTAAAGATACTGCGAGGGTCGCCCGGCCCCTACGCAAGCTGGAACCCGCGCCGTCAGATTATAAGGCAGGCTTGTTAGCTTTAGGCTACGGTCCGGTCCCTTTGTTTAGCCACGATGTATTTATCGGGGTTCTTCAAACACTTACGTTAAGAGCAATATATATATCAGTAAAAGAAACAAGAGATACCTTAAATAATAACTTACTGATGCTATTGCTTATTAATTACTTAACAAATGATTTCAAAAAATAGGGCCGATTTGGGACAACTGCTTTCATATTTGAAATGTCAGCCACCGAAACACTACCAATTCGTTGAAATATCCTCGGCATCGGGAAAACTATTCTTTGTTGTTGACCACTGTTATACATTCATCAGATGCTTTTGAATGCTACTTTAGAAAAGTGTGAGACATGCTTTCAAATACTTCATACCATCAACACCGAGTGTTGCACATGGCCTTTCCTTCAGTTCGTTCATAACGCCACCCTCAGATCTCTATTCTCATGCTGAGATGTTCCTCCCTAAGCTGTTTGTTAGACTGGCGTAAATGTTCCTTCCATGCCTGACATCTTTTGAACGTTTTCGTTTTCTCGGGTGAAAGACAGTGCTCACATAACTTTGGAATTGTCTCACACCCACTGGCTACACTCTCGTAGCACCTACATAGTCCTAGATTATCTAGCGGCACTCAACCCCTGTGTAATACTGGTGCTTGTGTTGCCGTTTAATAGGCATTATTTGCCCTAATGGAACTGAAATTTGGCCTTATTTTCCTCTGATACGATCGCGCTTTCGTCCGAAACAGTGCTCTTCAGCATTGTAGTGTCATTGTACTCTGCTGGACTGTTTCGCAACGCACAGTGAAACAAGGCGTTTGCACATTTGCTACGGTTAAAGGACTCATGGGATTTGAGTCTATCGATGAGTGCTCTGACTTGTCCGTCTGTGTCCATTACTATCCGTAATCTATTTCTTAGTATCTTACATTTCATCGCGAGCCTCTCTCCTTGTCTGAATCCAACCACTCGGTTCACCACAAAAGCCTAATGCATTCGTATCTGGAGTGTCCGTGACTTGCCTACCTCCCGGCTACGCTCCCAGTCAAAATCACCTGACCTGTAATCCTGTTGACATTGTTTTATGGTAGTTTTGCTTTTTACATCAATAAGCCGAAGTCTATGTTGCGATATTTGTTGTTTACTTGACCTAAATTCCGTAGATCCACCAGGACCAGGGTATGTGCAGTGGGAACCCTGTATCCACATATGATGGGTCGCAATCGCATGTTAACAGAAGCTCTTCCCTCTGCTGTTACACACTTTGTCTCATCTAGTTCTCATAGGCTATTGTGCTCAATTGACACGGATCATTTTCCTCCTAGGTTTACTTATTTGTAATCTCTAATTCCCGCTTTCACTGTACTATTTGGCAATAAACCTCAGCTGAAACACACCAACACGTGTTGAAAATTCAACCGGTACCTCATATTTGTCCAACGGGCCTGCTGAGAGACCTATGCCCTTTGGCAGTCAATGTTCGACTACCTACAACTTCACGTGCAGGGTAAGTCGCATGTATGCTTCACACAGTTGCAGATGCTTTATGGTCTGTGGCTTGAAACATAGTTTTTCTCCATCTTTCGTTCTGTCTTTATAACGGTCCATAGGCTTTTCGATTGTCAACACTGGTTTTATTTTGAACGGTTTGATCAGTTCCCATCTCTCAACAGTTCTCCCTTCTCGTTTCTTCTCTCAGGCGGTTACTTTGACTTTGCCGTTCCACACTTAAATGCTTAATAGCTGTTTTTTACCCACCCGAGATATTGTTGTTTTGATTTGCTGTGCTTTGTGCGTTGTGTTTTTCACACTATCACAGTTTGTCAGCTTACGCTTAATCCCCAAAAGTATTTATATACGAACTCGTAACGAACCATAGCACGGTACACAAGACTCGGTTTGGCAATAGGCCTGTTGGCTACCGATGAAATATGCGAGTACACTGATCACCAACTCTCCCGGTGTCTCTACTTTTGGCACATGTGTACAACTCCGAGTACCAACGAGTGCCGGCAAACTTTCCTTAAACAGAAGCTCTCCGGCCATTGAAGGAACTGCAACTAGCAATCTCTTTCTTCTTTGACCAAGGAGTAAATGTGTCCTTTAAAACAAAACCCTATATTCAAGTCACACGAACTTCGCTATTTCAGTAAGGCCCCAAATGACTAATCCACGGTATTGTAGTGCAAGCATGATTCCGCACGTACCAATTATGTCTTGATGAGAAGTATGTTTGTTGGGGCCTATAATGTAAACTAATTGAAAACTTCACTCAGTTCATTTCGGTTAATTTTGAGTCTCTCTAACTTTTTGCTCGTTTACCCAATCTTTTAGTTGCTTAAATTTTCGGAGAACTACCGGCATTTCTCTACGTCACTTTCCAACTGCCATTGTTGCTTTTTTATCTCTATTCCTCGAACACCTTATTTTTGGTTAATGCCACCTGCTGTTCCTTTCTGATTGTTGACCATTTCAGACCTGACGTCCTGACTAGTCTATAGTAACCAACAGACGACCCTTTTCCAGACGGAGCTACCATTCCCAGAACGTAGCACAAGACAGCAGAACAGGTCGGTTTCGGCAGTACGCAAAATATACTCCGACTGGCATCAAATACAACGCCTCACACAGTCAAAATAGTTTCATCGATGATTAGGCGGGCTTTAAACTGACTTTGACAAGCCCAGACTATAATAAGCAGGGGAACACAGTTCAACCATTAATTAGCTTGGCGTTAGCTTGACACGCACTGACTTCGGTAAGACCAGACAACAGGATGTAAATGAACTTGGTGCACGCTATTACCACGTTCCCCCTTCCTCTAGTTGGAGCTATCTTAACTGTTTTGATATTGATCTACCGATCAGCCTACTCGGCTTGAGTGGTCACATTGCGGAGCCTTCGGCTAACTGCAATTCTGCGAGTCTCTTAACTCAGTAGACGTGCAGAATCGGAATCGATCGTTGGCGGACATAGCCTCTATGCCATATAACTATCCTCTGTCTGGTAAAGCCACTTCCGTATTTCCCCTCGCAACTTAGCGCAGCTCTCCAGACTTCCAAGTCATTTCGTTAGGCAACTTGATGTAAGCCGGTTCCTTCTCGCGAAGCCTTCGATCGTCCGCCCTCCGGTCATACTCGGTTCTGGCTTCGATACGTAGCCTCTGATCGGGAAGCAGCTAATTTAGCCGTGTCCCTAATCTTCGCCTGAACATTAGTTCGCCGTGGCTCTTACCAGTCCTTTCGTTCGGTGTAAAGCGGTAGCCAAAAATAAATTCAACTTTGTTTGCTATGGCAGTTGTTTCCGTAACCCATTCTTGATCATTTGGACCGCTCTTTCAGCTGATCCATTGGAAGCTGAGGTGGTAAGGCGCTGACTTCACGTGACGTAGGCCTTTGGTTTGCCGAAACTGCTAAAATTATTGACAGGTAAACACGGAGTCATTGTTTGGTGCCAGCGCGTGTGGTATACCGAGGACAATAATGCACGTTCGAATGCACGCAACAGCAGTCTCTGCTATGGCTCGTGTTACTTGGAGAACCCCGTTCCATTTCGAATAAGTATTTACCAGGAAACATATTTCCGTCGAGCGGGCCGCAGAACTCAGCGTACACACGCTGGCCAACTTCAGTGGGCTGAGTGGTCTCGGATGGGCGTTTCTCTGTGTACTTCGACAGTCGTCACATTGTCTTATTAATTCCTCGATGTCTGTGTCAATATTGGGCCACCGCACATAGGATCTCGCTTTTCCCCCTATCTTCGGGATTCCTGGCTGAGTTTCGTGTGGCGCTTGTAAAACATGTGGACGCAACCGGGGTGATGTGATCGCTATGGATCCCCAGTGTAGACAGTCATTTCTGAGCGTTGAGTAAACTACGGTAACAACTACGGATCACATTTATCAAGCCATCCTTGAGAAACTCGACAACTGACCTGCTCACTTTCATGACGGACATCTGCTCTTAGCACCTGCTTTCCATCTAAAGGCTGAAACAAATGAACAGGTTCAGCGGGTTTCAGTGTGCAGTCCGATAAATCACTCAAAGGTAAACGACTTATCGCGTGGGCGACTCCGTTCACTTTCCTAGGGACGCACGCGATTCTCTAAGTGCGGGCGGAGAGCAGTGAAGCCCAGCGTTGCATGCGACGAGACACCATCTGGTTAATGTCTTTTTTCTCGCCATTCAAAGTTACTAATGGTTCGTGGTCTGTAAACATTCCGAACGTTCTCCACAGGTATTGGTGAAATTCTTTGACCCCAAACTTAACAGTCAGAGCTCTTTCGTTTAGATGTGCATAACTCCTCTCCGTTGTTGCTCGGCGGTTCATAGAAGCAAAAGCTATGAACCATTCGGTCCTGTCTTCCATTTTGTGAGGTAGCATGGTGGCGCGTCGCACCGGGGACTGATCGGCCTCCTTTGGTCAAAGTGTGTCAACTAATTAGCCCTAATTCTAGCCAGCTTAACAACAACCTAAGCCCTTTGCTATCTTAGTAACCACAACCATCGGGTTTTTTTACGTAAAAATACATACAGGGGCGCAGCAGTAGTAGATAGGTTGGGTAAAATATAACTGTACTGAGTCACCATCCCAAGAAATGCCTGCAGTTCATGGTATCGGCACCTCCAGAAGAGCTCGAGTTTTCTCGCGTAACGTAGATAAGCCATGTTCGTCCGAACGAAACCCCAGTTACTCAATGCAGTTAGATAAAAGGCACATTTGGATTCCTTTAGTTTAACTCCGCTATCTTGGTGACGCTTCAGTGACCCAAATGTCATACAAGTGCACACCCCCACGTTTCTCCTTTACTAAATTGTCTATAATCCTCTTAAAGATCGCCGACGCGGACTGTTCGTAGGCGAGTACTAGGGGGTGATGATCATGCTAGCTCCCTAGAACAACAGATAGCACTGAATAAGTTACGTTGGCTCGGGCACGTGCTACGCATGCCTGGTCACCGCTTACCTAGGAGGGCCTTGTTCAATCTACCAGGTGTCGGATGGCGCAAGGCTCGAGGTGGACAGAAGTTGACTTGGCAGCGGGAAATGAAGTCAATGACGACCAAACTGGGTGCCGTTGGTCCGTCTCGCCTTCAGGGTTGGAGTCCACGTGACTCACCTTGTGCTTGGCTCGAGACTTTACAGGACATGGCTCGCAACCGACACCAGTGGCGCGTCTACTGCCGTCTCCTAATCGGATTGTCTGTTTAGTGTGTTTGGTGCTGAGTTATCTGCGGGGTAATGGCTGACTATGACGCGTGGCAGTGAAAGCCGCAAGGAAGCTGTCTCGCCGATGCCGCCTTATCTTTGCACGATAGCCAGCTGTTTGTGACGGTATGTTGTTAACACAAGGTGTAGGCGCCTTTACCCTGAATGTTTGCTTAGGGCTTTAAGGTTTTCAGGTAAGTCCCCTTCTCTCCCTCTTCGTATTCTTTATTTCATAGGTCCTCATGGTTGTATGGCAGCGAAGCATCAGTTCAAATGGCTGCTGTTGATGATGATGATGATGTATTCCGAACGGCAACTGTCATCATCCTCATTTCGCCTAAGCTGAAGTTGAAAGACGCACTTCAGCTTTTATCCACAAACCAAAAGATAAGGTATATGAAAACACGATTTACAAAACACAGAATGCAGTAGAAAAACAAACCATCATATTATGAATTGGCTACTTGCTTGTGGTTGGAGGGGGAATAAAAGCGAGAGGGGTGGGGAGACGGAACGCACAACACAAACACCATTGAGGTCGGCTCTTCGCCATGTCAACAGGTCTATCAAAACAAATGTGTTACTTGTCCTTGGGACCCCAACCCGGCAGTCGGGAGGCACGAACTGACGCCAACTTCGCAGTGTAGGCCTTCATTCCTCTTGATCAAGTCAGCGCCTGACCTCGCCTCTTCATCTTCCATTTACTCTCCGGGCGCGCAAACAACGCACCTCGCGAAAGTCGATGTGCTAGGGTGCGCAACCTATAGTCCAGCTAAGGGAGTCTAGTTCGTGAATGTACAGTGCTGTGCCATCAACAAAGCACCGAACACTTTCATTGATCACGCGGTGTTGGCGCCAGATGTGAACCAGGCTGCTGTGGCAACGATGCCCGAACGTAGCTAGACTTTTTATGTGTATTGATCTGATGAGTCCGTTTCGCATCCGTACGGGTGGGTTGAATGGACGTCTGCGATGTAAACTCTGCCTTTCAAGGCGAAAGGGATGTCGCACCGGCGCCACATTTGGCGAAGATTGGCAAGAGTACCTCGGGCTTTTGCCATACGGTTCGTGTTCTCATCTTCCACTTTCCTGAAGCTGAACTAGCTGCCTAGACACTTGAAATGTGGGACGCATTCTAGCTGATAACCACCAAGGGTCTGTGCAGCGGTGAGTCCCTGCCACTCTTGGAGTATTTCACATTTCGAGGGTGCAAAGCATAGCCAGAGACGATTGACAGTCAGTGCTAATCTATCCAGTGCTTCTTGGCACGTTTGGGAGCTATCACAGGTAAGCGTAATGT